GATAGGGAGAGAACAGCATTTCCCCTGTGCTGGAGGTGTGTTGATTCCTAAAAAGAAAGCAGCAGGACCCTGCTAAATCCAGTAAAGTGTCACACAGAGACCTGGCTGGACTGGATAGACCAGTGTAAAGATGTACTGATAGGGAGAGAACAGCATTTCCCCTGTGCTGGAGGTGTGTTGATTCCTAAAAAGAAAGCAGCAGGACCCTGCTATAGCATGTAAAGTTTGCTGGGCTACACTAAGTTTATAGCACCATGTGTAGAGGAAGGAGCCCTAGCATGGGAATCCAAAAGCTAAGGCAGGAGCCCAGCCCTGCTACTCACTGTGGTTCCTAGCAAATTCTTCAACCTTTCCGAGCCAGGTTGTGAAATAGAGATTATACCCATGACCCGGCCCTGCCTAGTGGGGTGTTGTGAGGACCAAATAAGGTCAAGTATGCTTTGCAATTAAAACGTGCTGCTGTTGGTTTTGTTGTACATTATAAGGGGTGAAGGGTTGGGGAAGGAGTGACAGATACTTTCTGAGGCCCCAGCTTTTACCCTGGTCATGACACCGTGATGACCAATAATAGCTATGCATGATGCTTTTGTTGAGAGAAAGCATAGATGGTGGTTAAGAGCAGGAAACTCTGTAGTCTGCCTTGGACAAGTTCCTTGTTTGTAACATGGTGATAAGAATAGGACCCACTTCATAGTGTTGTTGGTGAGGATTAAAAATCAGTTAATATTTGTAAATGCCCAGACCAGTGCCTGGCACATAATAAATACCTCTGTGTTAAATAAAAACCTCTGTGGAAAATTTGATTTGTTCTTTCTTTTTATTAATTTTTGAGGCTTCAGGCTGACAAATCTGAAAAATTTCAATAGTATATCACAGGTTTTCAAAACGTTTCATAAACTATGTTTGCATAAACCAAAATTAATGCCTTGGGAATTACATGTTACTAAGTCTATTTGGAATGGAAATGGGAAAATATGTTACCAAGTGTGTGCTTATCACTGTGACATCCCAGTGGCCAACAGCTTATTTGTTCTGATACCTTGTGGTTTTTCAAGGAGAGAAGAAAGGAGGAATGTGGTTAAAACCAAAAAACAAGCTGGAAATATAGAAGTACTTGCATCATCAGGTCACTATTTTCCCATTTCTGTTCCATGAATATGATTCCAGGAATTTAAAAGTAGATCCTCAGCAGACAATTTACATCAAGTGTTCTGCTAGTGGTTTCTTAATGGAAAACGTGAATATTGTAGATAAAGTCTGTTTTTAAAATCATGTAATTTCCTTGTTGACTGTACTGCCACCAACAGTCTGAGTTTGATAGACCACCTCCTTAGCTACTTCAGGATAAACTGCGCCTAGTTTCTTTGGAAAAAGATATTTTACAGGTAGTACCATTTTATGTCTGGGAGCCCTTGATCAAAAAGAAAATAAACCGTTCACTGTTGTTTCTCAGGATGAAAACATAACGAGACCACTGCGCCTAGTTTCTTTGGAAAAAGATATTTTACAGGTAGTACCATTTTATGTCTGGGAGCTCTTGATCAAAAAGAAAATAAACCGTTCACTGTTGTTTCTCAGGATGAAAACATAACGAGACCTTTTTTTTACCTGACTGCAATCGACTGCCTGCTTTTGCCTCTGTTGGAAATCAAGTCTGACCTAATGGGTGGCTTGTGGCAGACACCAGTGTTGAATAGCAGCCATTAATTTAAAACTGAAACAGCAAGGAGAAGTATCTAAACAACTGTGCTTAGTGGCATTTTCCAAACAATGTGCTTTACCAAAGCACGAAGGACAAGAATTACTTAAAAGACATTGAGTTTTAACTGTTTTGGGCTTTATTACATTTTTTAAAATTGAGGTAAAATTCACCTAAGATAGAATTAACCATTTTAAAGTGAACAGCTCAGTGGCATTGAATGCATTGACAATGTTGTGCAACCCCCACTGCCAATGAGTTCCAAAACATCTTTATCACCCCAAGATAAAACCCTGCACCTATTAGGCAGTTACTCCCCATTCTTCCAGACTTTATTGCTTATTTTATGAGAAAGACTAATCAAAGGGTTGTTTGTGTGTACATACACACGTTCTTTTTTAAAGCTATTTGGTACTTTTTCATAACATGTCTTTTTGTCTCAAGGGTGAGTGATCTTATTAAATGTGGAAATTTTTGTGATTTTAATTGGATGCTGAAGCTGTAGGGAAAGATAGCTCTTTAACTTCTCTGAAAGGACTGATTGAGGAAAATTCATTTTAAGACATAAGTGGGTGAGATTAGCTTTTGGAGAAGTGCTGAGTAGAAATGGCCAAGTTTGGCTACGAGGTGGGAAAGATCTCTTTAAGGCAGTGAACTCTTTTGAAACCCGTCACTGCAGAAAACGGCTGCAGGGCACATATGTCTTGTTTTCCTTGTACCATTCTTCTTTCATCCTCCCCTCCTGTGCCTTAGTGACTTCTAAAGGAGAGATGGTTAAATGGTGTCAAAATTGCCAGTGAAAGCCAACCTTACCATTATGGGGATGGCCACCGTGTCCAGCTGGGGTGCTGCTGAGGCAAGTGAGTCCTCTTTCTAGCCTCTCAGAGAGTGATCTGGTTTGTGGCAAGGAAATACTAAAGGAAATAGTTTGTTTCCCTAGTGACTTTCTATATCTATCACCTATTGGTAGTAATATTGATCATCGTTCACCAGAACATTTTAGAGACATATTTGAGAAAATCTTAGAGGTCTTTAATTTCTTTTCTCCTCAATATCTATTTCAAATAATATTAAAATGTATGTCATCATGACTAGTAGGTTTACCTGATTTTGAGTAGCTTGTGCTATGTGTAAGTCTAGTCTCTATAAATCAAAGTGTAATGCAACAAATGTTCCAGAAAGTTGTTTTTGAAGAACTTCAGTCATTTTTGGGGTGTCATTAATTATCATTTGCTAATTTTTGTATTTGAATGCATAATACATCTAAATATTCATGTATTGTGGTTGCATAATAAAGCTGATATATTCTTCATTTATATTTAGGGGGCAATAGTTATAATAATAATATAGATCAGCTTTTGTTACTGGAGGAGAGGGTCTAGGGAGGTTGAATACCCGACCTCAACCCCTTCCTCCACCAGGTTCTTGGTTCCACTGCAGGAAAGAATTCAAGAGCAGAGTCAGAGTAGAAACTGAGAACAGGCTTACTGAAAAGAGCAAGAAATATACACTTCACAGGCAAAGTGCAGGCTGACTCAAGAGTGAGCACAGCCCTGCCTTCTTCCTGGATTCTACTTTTATAGTTGGCAATTCTATACATATTCATGATATCTAATGAATATTTAAATAAGGAGGTGGTTCCCAGTTATGTAACTGGTTATGTTACCTAGGCTTATGTGTGCTCTATTTGCTTCTTTGGAGCATGCTCAGTGGTCAAATTTTAACATATTCTCTGAAAAATACTCAAAATATGTTCAATGCTCTCTAGCACCTCTGGGGGAAGGTCATTCAAGGATAAACTTACTACTGAGTATGCTTGGCCACTGGAATTACATAAATCTGCCTCCTGTGGTCTCAATCTCCTGAAGTTGGTGCTGAAAATAGGTGCTGCATGCAACAGTAACTCAGGGCCTGGAGGAGGGGCTTGAGTCCTAGGGTAGTGGTTTTAAACTAACATAATTTTTATTTATATGGAACAGTAACTATAATCGAGAATATCAAAGCCTTTCTTTTAAAAGTATTTTCACCATCAAAATTATGAAAGCAATACATGCTCATGATAAAAAATTTGGAGATTTTCTATGCATATTTCATGCATAATTTTGATGTTTTCCTATGTGAAATTTTGTGCTCTACATTTTTTTTTTCCTTTTTGTCTTTTTTAATGGCCAGTAACGGGATCGCAACCCTTGGTGTCGTGCTTTTTTTTTTTCCTTTTTGTCTTTTTTAATGGCCAGTAACGGGATCGCAACCCTTGGTGTCGCGCTCGCAACCCTCGGTGTCGCGCCCGTACTGGGGACCGGCAACGGGATCGCAACCCTCAGTGTTGTGCCTGCACCACGCTCAGCCAGTGAGCGGGAACCGGTCACCACATGGGATCCGAACCCTCGGCGGGAGCGCTGCCGCGCTCCCAAGCGGCACACTCTCCAGTGCACCACCAGGCCGGCCCGTACTCTACATTTTTTATTCAACATGATGACGTAAACATTTCCCAATATCTGAAATTCCCTCCCAATAGGCATAGTCCTATTTACTCATAAAGTCATGACAAGTGTTATCTACTGATGGGAAAAAGATGTTTAATTAGCGTGCCTGGCTTTATTCAGAGAGTTTGTAGGGCATTTGGCTGGTTCAAGCCAGAACACATATGGGCTGTGTAATTAACTAATTCCTTAGAGCCTCTTATGGTCTCTGGACTGAGTTACTGCTTCTTCATGTCTTTTAGCTCTTTAGTCTTAATAATGTTTGAATTATGTATTGATTATTCTCATTCATGAAATGTTCATTCTCTCTGAACATGAAGAGATAGGATAATGATTTTCTCCAAATAAGCAGATAGCAGATGTTGATATTAAAGTGTTTAAGGATTGTGGTCTCATTTAAGAGAGAACCAAGCTTCTAGCTATTTTTTTATGGTTTTAATTCTAGACATTTATCCTTTCATGAAAAAATATATATCACCTTTCGGAATTTTTGTAAAGAAAAAGTATTATTAGTATTCTATTCTCATATTAAAATGTCTTGCTTTTATTGTGGGAGAATATAAGATATGTGTGGGGGGGATTCTTATTTGTTGTCTGTGTAATTCTTTGAAATTCATCATAGGAAAAATTCAGTTTTCTATTCATGTATTAATTTGTCAATAATGTTTTGTTATATGGTCTATATGCTGATTTAAGTGTATAAAAACCATATTGTGTATAAGGATACTTTAGGATTTGGATCTATATAATTAAAGACATGATTATATTCTAATTCATGAAAAATCACATGGAGTAAAACTTTTTTTGTTTTCTTTTAGCCAGATGAATTGTACTTTGAGGAAGGTGATATTATCTACATTACCGACATGGTAAGCCCAGTTAAAATTTTGTAATGCCACATATGTACTTAAGATATATAAGATTATTTTATGTAGACATAACATTGCAAGTTATTTAAATGTGTATGTGCATAGAAATACATATGCACAAGTCTATCCATTTTAGCACAATTTATAATAGCATAAGATTGAAAGTAGCCCTTATGTCTACCAGTAGGAGTATAGTTGACTAAGCTTTGTTATAGTCACAAATGGAATATTATGCAGCTATAAAAAGGAGTGAAGAATATCTCTATATGCCGTTAGGGAGTACTTTAAATGAAAAAAGCAAGGTGAAAAAATGTAGCAAGTATGCCCTCACTTATCTGAGAAAGAATGAAAGGATATACATATACCTATTTTTCTCAATTTAAAATAAAAAGCCTCAAAGGATGAGTCGTAAAGTAAAATTTAGTTTTACTCTCTGTGGAATAAAAATAGTTTTCTTTATGTGGAGGAAGAAAATGTGGTAAGAAAGTACACAGATGAAAGATAGGCTTTCCAAAAAATTATGCCCTATTTTGGAGATTTGACTTTGGAATCATTTAAACTTTTACATAGTTATAAAATTAAAGTAAATAGTAAAAAGTAATCTCTAAAAATTAAAAGTAGAATGAATAAAATGAATTTAATTGAAACCCAGTAATTAGCATAATCACACAGAGAGGAGGTATTCCAAGTGATTTTAAAACTCAGCAATTTGACTGAACATACCTGGTAGAATATATATTAAGAATAAAAAGAACTGCAAAAAAAAAAAAAAAAGTGAACTATTTTAAATCATGATCTTTTTACGGAAGTGTCTGAAAGTGGAGCAAAGACAAAATGCCCACCAAACAGATAAGGTATTTTGAGATGGAAAAATAAAGCAGGCACTTCCATCTAGTAATGCAAAGAATTTTAACTGCGAGGGTAATTTACTTACAGGATACAGCATCCAGTAGGCCGTGACCCAGGAGCGTACACATTTCTTTGTGCCACCTCCTGGTCCCCGTTTATAGGCAGTTCACACAAAACAGTGGAAAAACTCGAGAAGCAATTACTACGTAAGAAACAAGCTAACGTCACTATAACAATGATTATTATTTTTGGTGGTCTAGTGATGCAGGCAGCCAGACCAGCTGTTACCATACCAGTACTTAATCATTAAGTCCCTTCTTTATAGTCAGCAAACCGTTTCTACCTGTTGTTCTCACTACCTTACCCCTAGTTACCATATAACTTCACTGGACAGGGCTCACACAAAGGACATAGCAAGTGGTAATAAGAGTTTTCAAGATGAAGTAAGTTATGCTCACAGTCTCGCATCAAGTGTTTGGTATTGCTAATTCTGAGACTGTTGCATGTGTATTGTGGTTTAGGACAAATGAGTCATTAGGTCAGTGATGTTGGCAACCAAGATTTTCAGCATGGGAGAAAGGATAAACAAGGTGTAAGATCAATGAGTTAAGTAAAAATTCTATAGTCCTTCATCTGAATTAGAAGTATCATGTTGAATTTTATATTAAAAAAAAAAAAAATCCCTGCTCTGTTCTTTGAAAGGGCCTAGAAAAAATGACCAACCCAGTGATGATGTTATTTAACTCCCATTAAAAGGAACAGGCCTCTTTGAGAAATGGCTGGTACCGGGTCTGGGACAACAGACCTACAAGACAAACCCAGAACATTTTATTATTAGAAAACAAGGAATTCCCAAAGACTAGTTATTAGGGTCACATAGGAAGGACTCAGGAACTAACTTGAAGAGGCTCCTGCTGCCCAATGTTATAAGACAATTTGAGCATCAATTAGGGCAGTGACTCAAGGATTAAAACACATTGAATATTTTTAAATTTTTGAGTTCTTAATGTTACTTCAAAACACACAAACATCATTTGGTCAGCATGAGAGAACGCTAGGGAACCAACGTTTTATTCTGACAACTATTAAAAGAAAACCAGCATTTATCCTGCCTTTTCTCTATGAATTCGTTCATGTCTGGGTAACCTGAGAGTTGATAAGAGAAAGTTTCTCTTTGAACAGATATTCTAGCGATTTAAATGAAGAAAGAACGGTAGAATTAGAATGTTACCAGTTTGCAGCCCCTAGGAAATAATGGATCCAGACAGTGATAATCAATAGTTACTAACATTACAAAAAAAGAAACAACTAGACATTATGTGTTTCCCAGTAGGAGAAACCAATACTACCTATGATTTGCCCCAAATTTTGAAGCTGAATCTGATTAAGCCTCTAGAGGTAATGAGCAATTTATATACGATATGGGAAACAGAGGGATGTGTTTAATGATAACACAGGGGTACAACAGGCAACGTTCATACTGTTTGAAACTCTACAGAATGAACAAACTGGTTTCTTCACAAATCTATTGTTAAGAGGTAAAAAAGAATGAAGTGAGAACCAATAGATTAAAAGAGACTTAAGAGGCAAATCAGTCAATCATATTGTATGGCCCTTATTTGGATCCCAAATTATGGGGCAATTGGAAAATTTGAGTATTGACTTAGATATTTGATGACATTAAGGAATTATTGTTGAAAAAAAATTTTTAAGCCATGATAATGGTATTACAATAGTCTCTGAAAAAATCCTTCTCTTTCAGAGATACATACTGAAATATTGACAGATGAAATAATATGACGTCTAGAATTTATTTCAAAATAATCCAGGAGAGGAGAGAAGTTGTGGGGGGATATGGAACAGTACTGGCCATGAGTAAGATGACTCATGCAGTTGGCAGCTGGGTAGATGGAGGCTAATTATATTGTTCTACTTTTGTTTAGGTTTGAAATTTTCTATAATAAAGAACCAAAAAATGAAGGTAAAATAAAGAGATCTTTAGAATCTCCCCCCTTAAAAGGGTAGATGGAGGCTAATTATATTGTTCTACTTTTGTTTAGGTTTGAAATTTTCTATAATAAAAAACCAAAAAATGAAGGTAAAATAAAGAGATCTTTAGAATCTCCCCCCTTAAAAGAAAAAAAAAATGGTATCTGAAAGCTAAGAGAAATTAAACTCTGGACAATAAAATCCTATAGCTAGTCTCAACTAATGTAATTTTTTTCCCTTCTCTTTCCTATTATATCAATTTGATTTGTTTGGTTGTTGAGGCTCTGTGATGAGGTGTATTCTGTTTCTTGGAGGTGGATGCATATGTATTTGTAATTTAGAGATAGGGGAAGTGGATGCCCATCGCTAGTTTGTGAGGAAGCTTGATAAATGTGGGCAGGGCCAATGGACATTTTGTAGAACAGCCTGTGAGCTAAATGGTTTTAAAAGTGATTTAATACCCCTTAACTTAACTCTTCCTTCTTTCTGCCAGAGTGATACCAATTGGTGGAAAGGCACCTCCAAAGGCAGGACTGGACTAATTCCAAGCAACTATGGTAAGTGTTGCTGGAGTGGCTGTCCTTTTGCTATACTTTGTTCACTGTAAATTATCTGGCCTTGGAGGCCTTTCTGCTCACTGCTGTGACTGAGAAGTCAGTGGAGTCGTTGCCAGTCTAGGGCATTTTCCACTCCGTGATCCTCCTGTTATACAATGGCCATGAACATGAGATGTGCCTGAGCCTGACTCCTTGGCTGAAGAGAAAGCATTGTAGCATTCTTCTGAGAACCCAAGGTTTCCAAGGAAACCTTATGGTTTTACTTTATTCAACTCTTAAAGCATTTTTTTTTAATGCTGTTAAACTAAGTCTCACCAATTGTTTCTTAGACTAGTCCTTTTGTGATGAAGTAACCCAACTTTGTTAATTCATGTTTGGGGCAGTGACATTCATTAAATGCTTATCACAATTTGGGGAACTTGAGCAGTAAGACGTGGCACCTGCCATGAAGCTGCTTCTAGCCGGAAGAGGGACAAACAGATAAAAACACTTATGTAGAAATCAGCTCAGTGACATCAAAAGAGCACAGGATTGGTATACAAGGCTCTGAGTTTTCATCCTTTCTCTTCCACTTCCTAATGGCAGGGCACTTCAGTTAAGAAACTGAACCACTATCTCGGGGATTCAATTTGCCCACATGTATAATGAAAGGACTGGATTTAGATCACTCCTAAGATTCCTTTCGACTTTAGCATTAGATGAATCCTTAGACCAATAGGGCTGGCATCAGGCACCCACCAAGCACTGGAGAGGGACTCATGGGGGTGTGGGGGTGAGGGCTTGGGCGTGGGGCCCAGCACAGGGGTTCTGCTTGTCCTGGTCTGAGTGGTATTATTCTTTGCTAAAAAAGACTTTAGATACTTCTACACTCCTGTCTTTGAAATCCCAAATATACTTTTACAGTACACTCCATTTCTAGCCTTGGTCATAGACCCTGAGGAGCACAGGGGTTCTGCTTGTCCTGGTCTGAGTGGTATTATTCTTTGCTAAAAAAGACTTTAGACACTTCTACACTCCTGTCTTTGAAATCCCAAATATACTTTTACAGTACACTCCATTTCTAGCCTTGGTCATAGACCCTGAGGATGGGAAATCTGCCTCTGTTGCCTTGGATCCCTGCACCCAAGGGAGTGTCCTGTTACAGCCCTTTAATGGGTGGGAAGGTGGGGCTGAAGTCATACCTGAACAAGTCTTCCTCTGGGCACTCCTACTGATTCTAGGACATACCTTCCATAGAGGTGGATAAGTATGCTGATTGACCTTTCTGAGTATTGGAAGGAAAATACTTCTCCCTCTCCCCCTCCTACGTGCACATACACACAAGCTATCAGAATTATTTTCAGGTATCTTAAAATGCAAAAATATAAAAATGAACATCAAATGCTTTCTTCTGCATTCTTGTGACTAAGTTTGTTTATTAAATACTTGAGTAAACAGGTATGCAGGTGGTGAATCTGTTTTTGTTTCTACTTCAGTTAATTACTCTGTTTATGTTTGCTTATATTTCCAGTTAATTGCTGTGTTACTGCTTGTTTGGCTTAGCTTTATTTTACACATAATTCAGCTTCTTTTATTTATTTATTTATTTTTTACAGGGAGAAGTATTTTATTTTATTTTTCAGATGAATTAAAAACTCAATCTTTGTTTTTTGTTTTTCCTTTTTTAATTGAAGCATGATCAACTATTCATATTTTGGGGGTACAACATTGACTACCATCACCTGTGTACAACGTGTGTTGATCAAATCAATTTTATTAGCATGTTCATTTAAGCAGGAACTATGAGTTTGATTTTTCTGTCATTTTTTAATCCATAATAAGCAAGGGAAGCTGTATTGTCCAAGGCCCTGGCACTCCTGAAGCTGGGGACCGTGGTGAGTGGCTTCAGTGAGTCATTTAAGTGACACTCTCAACACTGGGTTTGTACTTTTTGTTTTCAATCTAGTGGCTGAGCAGGCAGAATCAATCGACAATCCATTGCATGAAGCTGCAAAAAGAGGTAAGTGTGATTCTTTTTGATTGAAGTATACGGTGTAGTAAAATGCACAGATTTCAGTTATACAGTTTGATGAGTTTTGACAAATGCACACACCCATGTAACCTACACCCAGATCAAGATCTAGAACATTTCTATCATCTCAGAAGAGGCAATCTCTGTTCTAACTTCTACCACTGGAGAGGTTAGTGTGATTTTAATTTTGAAATGTCAGTCAACAAATACTTTTGAGTGCTTCACCTACCCTGTGCTCAGCGGTGGGGAGAGGTAAGTGTAAAGACATGGTCTGTGACTTCCAAAGCTCAAAGTCTGGCCAAGGAAGGATACATGTAATGGATAATTAAAATATCATGTGATAAGTACAGCAGTTGATGTGTGTTTAAATTATACGGGCTGTAGAGGCCAGAGTGAGTAACTGGGGGGCAGGAGGGTGGGGGCTTCCTGGGGCACAGCATTTAGGAGAGTGTTGGTGTTGTGAGAGTTTGATGGGGGTCACCGGTGGGTGACCAACAGGTATGAGTCCGGGGAAGAGTCATGGCCAAACCATGATGGGCCTTGTCTGGGGCATTATCCCGTAGGTCAATGTTTCTCAACTATGGGTGATTCCTCCCTCTGATTCCTGAGGATATTTGGCAATACCTGGAGGCATATTGATTGTCATGACTGGAGGGATGCTACTGGCATCTCTTGGGTAGTGGCCAGGGATGTTGCTAAACATCCTGCAGTGCACAGGACAGCCCCATGACAAAGAATTCTCCAACCACAAATGCCAGTAGGGCTGCTGTTGAGAAACCCTTCTGTAGATAATGGGGAGTTTCTGTAAAACCTTAGTGAGCTCTATTTTCATGCTTTTTTAGATCTTTTTGAAATCTGAATGTGCCAGAGGAAATTATTGGTTTAGAATGGTACATAAGTAGAACTACTAAACTGACGTTTTAAAAATTCTTTGTAAATTACATACTTAAGATATTAATCTGAGGATTTTATCTTTTTTTCTTTTTTTTGGTCTCTTTTTTTCGTGTCCGGCAATGGATCGCAACCCTCAGTGTCGCACCCGTACCGGACCGGGACCGGCAACGGGATCGCAACCCTCGGTGTTGCGCCCACACCTCGCTCAGCCAGTGAGTGGGAACCGGTCTGTATGTGGGATCTGAACCCTCGGCGGGAGCGCCGCTGCACTCCCAAGCGGTGCACTGTAGCAGTGCGCCACCGGGCCGGCCCGTTAATCTGAGGATTTTAAATTAATAGTTATGCTGCAGCATGGAAGAGCATCAGTTTTGAGTAGGTCATTTAGTTCTTCTCTTGTAAGAACTGAAAATGCATTTTAAATATGAATATGAATAGTATCTGCTGGTTCTTAGGTTTGACTGTTTTTTTCCCCAAGTTCCAGAGTTTCACAAAGAAATATATATATCATATATCATATATATATATTTTATTAGTCAGGGTTCTCTAGAGAGACAGAATCAATAGGATACGTTATAATTACATGAGAGGGATTATTAGGGAATTAGCTCACGTGACTATGAAGAAAAATCCCACAATAGGCCATCTATAAATTGGATGCCAGTCATGTGGCTCAGTCCTTGGTGGTGTCCCTGATGGTGTCCTTGGTGTAAGTTCCGGAACCCAAAATGAGCTCTGATGTCCCAGACAGGAGAGAAGTGTGTATCCCAGCTCCAGCAGATGGAGAGAGAGCTTCACCTCTTTCCTCTGTCTTTTGTTCTCTCCAAACCCCCAGCGGATTGGATGGTTCCCACCCAATCCAATCAGACTCTCTTACTAATCTCTGCTGTAAACACCCTCACGGACACACCTAAAAAGATTGCTTTACCAGGTTTCTCAGCATTCCTTCATCTAATCAAGTTAACACCTAGAATTAACCTTCACACACACACGCACACACACACACACACACACACACATATATATATAATAGTAGAAATATCTTAAGTAGAGCCATTTAGGCAACTCTTCCCATTAGCCTACATTTAAAATTGATCTTAATACTTTCCATTAATAAGCTGGAAGTCAAAATGTAGCATAATAAATGCATTAGTGGGCAAGTCTTTTTAAGACTTACAGATTAATGCATTGCAAATGGAAATGTATGCTGGATGAAGTTGATTTAAAAGCAAAACAAAAAATGAGCATTTTTCTTGTGTTTTTATAAATGTAAAATTTCTTGCAGGCAACTTGAGCTGGTTGAGAGAGTGTTTGGACAACCGAGTAGGTGTCAATGGCTTAGACAAAGCTGGAAGCACTGCCTTATACTGGGCTTGTCACGGGGGCCACAAAGGTATCACGTTTTGTTCGTTATAATAACTTTCTATGCTGCTGAAAATGTGTTTCACCCAAGGGAGCCAGATTTACATATATGAGAAGAAAAATTAAAAAGTTGGCTCTTCTTTCTGAATTCTTTAGAACATCAGACAAAAAAGCCTGTTCCTGGAAGCTCTGTAGACAGTGGGTAGAATGTGGTTGGCCAGCCTCCCTGCATGGAGCTCTCTCACTTGAAAGACTGGAAGCTTCCTTTCCTCCCTCAAGCTTAGAAAGGTTACCAGAAAACAACAGTAATATAAAAACAAGCACACTATCTAATTTTATAGAAGAAAAGGGCAAAATTGGCTCCAGTAGCTTAGTCTTTCCCAAGGTATGCTTTTATAATTTGCATGTTAAGTTTAAAACAAACTATGAGATTCAGGAGAAAGACAGCATTTGCTTAAGTGAGTGATTTAATTGATACTTTTCTCTGTTATAATCAATAATAATGAAAATTGAATTGCTAGGTATATTTCATCCTGGCCAAAAATCTACCATCCTGCTCTCTTTCTACCTCCCCCTGCAATACAGAAAATAAACCCAACAACAATGAGAAACAAAGAGCCCACAAATTAAATAGCATAGCCAAAGGAAAATTTGTGACTATCTGCCAGAAGAAACCCATCTTATTTTAGCTAATAAATATCTTAGCTATGTAATACTAAATATCATAGCAAATATAAAAATATTCCTATAATAGATGTCATGTGAAATGCAAAAGCCAAAAGTATTTGGGGGAACAAAAAGGTCCCCAGATAATTTTTTTAGATTGTTAAGTTTCTCTATACATAGATTTTGAAAAATTTGTTATAAGAATTATCTCAGAGATTCTTCTGAAGAATCCTCTCTTTTAAAATTATTATGCCTAGTTTTGTCAGGCTTTTACTTTTCATTCTTAAGAAATATCTTTTCTATTTGAATTTCAGACATAGTGGAAATGCTGTTTACTCAACCAAATATTGAACTGAACCAACAGGTGAGACTTCTTTGTGGAAATCATTGAACATATCTGCCTTGTTCTCTTTAGTGCAGTGCAACTTATGGGTGTGTAAAGTATTCTAGTCAAATGGTTTAAGAATTATTATTCTACTAAAATTTAAATTCTACAAAGCCCAAAATGCCTACACCACTCCTTCTCATATATCACTTTAAACTTTCTTTTTTTTTTTTTCCCCTCTTTCTTCTTGTACTTTCATGTCACTAAGGCAGAGACTTGTGGAGCTGCCTTGTCATGAGACATCACATGCATCTGGGCTTCCTATTTGGTGGGTGAAGGGTTAAGCTTGTCAGCGGCCCCAGCTCTCATCTTCCAGCCCCCAGCACCCAACCTTTGTTCCTCTGCTCCTCCAGTGTCTTATCAGGGTTTGGGGTTATGTTACAATTTAATGTTTACATTATGTCTGTTTAAGTAGTGTTCACTGCTTATGTAACTTTTTTGTTTCTGTGCTATTAACTTTTATTTATCTGCCTTTTTTTTTGGATCTCACTAAGACTTATATGATGTTTTATACTCTTGATATCCTCTTCAAAAATGTGTAAAATAGTCAGTGGCTTCCTTTTTTTCTCCCTGGAGCTGTCCATCCTCATTCTCCGAGCTGAGCAACTTGTATATGTGGCTGTACTAATTTACATTCTCACCAGCAGTGTGGATGAGTTCCCCTTTCTCTACATCCTTGCCAGCATTTGTTATTTTTTTTCTTTTTGATAATAGCCATTCTGACTGGAGTGAAATGATACCTCATTGTGGTTTTGATTTGCATTTCTCTGGTGGTAGTGATGATGATGGTTCTTCTGTATACCTGCTGGCCATCTGTATGCCTTCTTTTGAGAAATGTGTGTTCAGTTTTTTGGCCCATTTTTTGTTCAGGTTATTTGTTTTTGTTTTTGTTATTGAGTTTGAGTTCCTTATATATTCTGCATATTAACCCCTTGTCAGACACGTAGTTTGAAATGACTTTCTCCCATCCTGTAAGTTGCCTCTTCACTCTATTATTGTTTCCTTTGCTGGGCAGAAGCTTTTTAGTTTGATGTAATCCCACTTGTCTCTTTTTGCTTTTGTTGCCTGCGTTTTGAGGTCTTCTCCAAAAAATACTTGCCTGGTCAAATTTCGTGAAATATTTTCCCTTATGTTTACTTCTAATAGCTTCATAGTTTCAGATTTTTTCTTTTAAGTCTTTAATACATTTAGAGCTGATTTTTGTGTATGGTAAGAGATAGGGATCTAGTTTCATTCTCCTGAACGTGGATACCCATTTTTCCCAGCACCACTTATTGAAGAGAAAAAATGAAAAATTTACTTCATTTTTTTGTCACCACAGAATAAATTGGGAGACACAGCTTTGCATGCCGCTGCCTGGAAGGGTTATGCAGATATTGTCCAGTTGCTTCTGGAAAAAGGTAAAGTTTGTGCTGAATGTATCTGGTCTTTGCTTACCCTGAAACATATGCTACATCAAATCACCATTTGAAATAGTGGGAAGAATAATAGTCCCCTTATTTTAAAACTGGTATTTTAATCTCTATTCTTTCTATACCACAGAGTTGCCATGATAAGATGAAGTTATAGGGGTTGATTGTGTTAGTTTTTAGTATAAATTAAAACTTTGACAGGCTTTAAAATTATGTGTTATTTTAGTGAGAACTTATTGTACATTTCTGCAGGATTCCAGGATCTTAGACGGAAGGGGTGTGTGTGGTGTGTGTGTACACCACTATGGGGGAGATCCTGTCTGAGAAATCTGTGTGGGTAAAGTTGCTGAGGCCCTTGTTCTACCAGGAAAGTCTTGACAGATAAGAAAGAATGTTGTGGCTGCAATGTCCGTAAATGAGCTGAGCAGGTACTAGAAGGAGACAGAAGATACCTTGATACCCTGTTGTTTACAGAAGCCAGAGGCAACAGTGAAATTATGGACTAACCATCCATCCATCCATTCATTTGTTCCACGAGTATTAATTAACCTTCACAAAGGGCCAGGCATATCACCCCATAACACACCCTGGTCCAGAGACTGTCGTGTAGGACATTTGAGTCCCCAAGCCACAAGTCATGGGATAACCATCATTAGGGATCATTGGAGCAATGTTGTAAGGTATATGAGAGGAAATGGTTTTGATTTTAAGTATGTTGATGATGTAAGCTCCAGGTCTAAGAGGTCAGATATCCTGAAGACCACTATAGTAGCCCCTAAAGGTTATGCCAAGGGCTGTGCTGTCTGAATCGGCAGCCACTGGCCACATGAGCAACTGAGCCCTTGAAATGAAGCTTTCTGTATTGAGTTGTGCTGTAAGTGTAAAATGCATGCCACATTTCAAAGATTTAGTGAAACAAAAAGTAAAACATCACAGTAATTTTTATATTGACTACATTTTCAAGTGATAGAATTTTGGATATACTGTGTTAAATAAAATATATTATTAAAAGTAATTTCACTTTTGGCAAACGTGCTACTAGAAAACTAACAATTATATATATGGTTCCCATCGTATTTCTATCAGCTCTGGTCAAAATGGACATAGGAAATGGTTGTTTCTTCTCTAGTGTAAGTGTCTCTGAATATTTCCTGTCCTGATAGAGATTATGTGTGTGAGTTCTAAAGTGTCATTTAATATATGCTTAGTCACAGAACTGTTGGCCCGTAGCACACTGAGAGAATGAGGTTTTCCACATAACCCTAGCTGTGGATAGATCTAGATAGGCTCAGGAGAAAGATTTTGACACAAGATCGTCATTTTCCTAATTAAACATGCATTTTTTTAGTTCAGTCAATATTTTTGTGCCTACAAGTTTTGGAACATTTATTTTTTGTTTATCAAAGAGGGAGTGATTGCAACAAAATGGCAGGAAGTACAAATTGGTGAAGACTTCTTGAAAAGCAATCCGACAGTAGCTGGCAGAATGAAAAATGTACTTAGCCTTACGTTTCAGCACCGCTTCTAGGAAACCATTCTTCAGAAATCATGCGAACAAAGATGGTGTTCAAGGATGTTCACTGCAGTATTTGTGGTAATGAAAATTAGGAACAGCTTAAGTGCCCATCAGTAGAAGGGTGATTAAATACATTTTGGAACATCTACAAAATGGAATACTTATGAACATTTAAATAGATTTGAGGTACTTGTGCAATGCTAAGAGTACCATTGTACATTGTTAAGTTAAAAATCAAATTACAATACACGCAATATGAGTTTGTGTACATGTACACATGTGTCTGTGAATGGACTGACACACGTAAGGGAGAGGAGAGTGCCTCCCACGTGTTAAGAACGGTTACCTCTGGAGAGGGCAGAGGACGGGTGATGAAATGGGGCCTACGCTTTTGTTCAACATACTTCTGGATTTTTGAAACTTTAACAGTGCAAATGTATTCATGAATTCTGACGTGATTTTTAACATAATGAAGACAAAAAAAAAGTGGGTACAAGATGATTTATGGGAACAATGAATTGCCTCTGGGTTTTGTGTTCCATTTTGTTAATTTGCATGAGAGTACACTTACAGATATGAAATGTTAATCCTCTCAAGCTCAATCCACCTGGTCTTTTCTAATGAGCCTCTTGAGCAAAAGGAGAGGCAAAGAGCATATTTAATGTAAACTCCAAAAACTCATGCAGAGGTACACGTAGCTACCAGGGTCTAAGTGATGATTTAGTATTTACCATGGGGATGGTAAACTCCTCACTGAAAAGTTCACATGCAGTCCTACAGGGAATCGAAGGGAAAAGCTGTGGTTTAATTGAGCATGATTATCACAGTTGCAGCAATGAGCTCCCTGATTAAAGATGCCAAACATATTGTTTTGAGAAGGTTTACTTTACTTCTGGGCCAGAATTGTTCTGTGCTTAGTTTTGCCAAAAGTGATTAGTTTGGGTGGAAGAGGATTGGCTGTTACTATACAGTTTTTAAAACACCTGATTTACTTTTCTTTCTGGGAAGGTGCTAGAACAGACTTGAGGAACATTGAGAAGAAGCTGGCCTTGGACATGGCTACGAATGCAGCCTGTGCATCTCTCCTGAAAAAGAAGCAGGGAACAGGTATTTATTTTAAATCCTTCTTTCCCCTCTGGTGCTCTCACAACTACTTAGTATTGGGAAAAAATTGATCTGCTTAGTAATGGGAAAAAAATATTTATCTGTAAACTCTTTAGATGATCCTGAACTTTGTTTCTATATCCTTGATCTAAATCAGAACCACCAAAATAGAACACTGTCAAGCGAATGCAAATTTGAGGAGAGACACAGATCTTTTACTATTATTTTTATGTTTCCTTTGTTCTTGCAGTCAAGTTCTAATCACCCTGCTTTACATGCAGTCATTTTCAGAAAGCCGTGGTCACCCTTCCTTCATTTCAGATATGTATTTATGGGTGGTCATCACTAAACATTTTTAAATTAAGAATTCATCTCCATGATTGTATTCTGTTTTTATTTTAAATGAGGCTATCAATAAACTGTAATTGAAATTATTCTAGACTTTGTTAAACATTTTGGAACTTACTCATGGGTGGTTTTTAAAAACAGAGTTTCATTCTTGAAGACAAAAATATTGATGTGGAAGAATAAGTTCAAATAAAGAAAAGAAAGCTTGTGTGGTTGTTTTGAAAGAAAGGCGTCAAAACACTTGCTTCATTCATGGTACTATTCAGAGACTGCTGTGGTCTTGATCCTTCAGTCTGTAGCCTGTCGAATGTGTGTCCCCCAGCTTTATTCTAGCACAGTTATTTCCTGAACAAAGTGCTGGCAGGATGTGCCTTGAACTTCTCTTCCATTCCATCTTTCCTTTTTCCCTTCCTGTTCACCATCAGCCCCCTGGTCCATGCCATGCCAAGCTGGTGGAGGTGTTTTGGATGGAAGGGACATTAAATCCCTTTTATCTTACTTCTCAAACCTTACTACATTTTATAATCTTATGTTTGGCACTCTAATACCACTTTGAAGATAAGCCAACAGTTGATACATTTTTTCCACCATTTTCTAGAAAGAAACTAGTGTAATGGAGGACTCGCTGTTTGCAAGTCCTTTGCATTGCTGCTCATCTTTCTAAACCTTTCTAGTATTGCTTTAGAATCTAAGGTTTAGACTGGTCCCTGTTGGTAGAGAATTACCAAAATGACTTTTGAAAAAACAAAATGCCGTTATAGAGGCTGAGTACATTTGCTTCCATTTTAACTTTGAGGGTATTATCACTTTCACAGTGTGTAGTGGAATACTGATTACTTTTCTGTTTTTATCAATTGACCCCCATTAGTTTTTGAACCCATATAAAACTTATTTCTCCCTCAGGTATTCCTTGGTTTATGAGAAGAGGCAATGTTATGCGGTCCCGTATTCCATTCCTAGCAAAAACAACGAAATAAAGTCAGTGCCCTGGTTTCCTGTCTTAAGTCCATCAGAAACAGTAAATAGTCCCTCTTCTTCATGGTTTGCCAAGAAAGCTTCCCAGAATTGTCCTCCTTACCTCTTACCAAGTTCAGATGATAGCCTCCTCATGAATCTATTGTCCCTTTTGTCTTTTTTTTCAGATATGTCTTTGTCCCAGTTTTTTTTTTTTTTACTTCAGTTCAGACACAGTGTAAATAATTAATTAGTTTGGGATTCTTTAAGCCATGAATGCTTCCTGGAAGTTAAAGTCTTTCTTTAAAGTAAATACTCGTGCATAAGTGGATATAGCTTCTACTAAGGGGATGAGACAGTTGTGTCAGCTGAGCTGGTGTTCCCTGGTGACATTCTGATTGAGAAGCTATATTTGCAGCTGTGTGGGAGAGATTTTTTGCTCGAGGTCGACTTCCGACGCCTTACTGCCCTGGTTGGGTCAGGAAGCAGTGCGATGGCCTAACTTCCTTTCTCTGTCACTGACCTCCGGTTGCTGCGTGAGTCCCTTTAGAATGTCCTGACCATAGAGTGAGGTTTCTTACGAGCTGAAGGTCGGTACTCTTTTCTCTGTTCACTCCAAGTGTCTGTGTCTTTAGTCCACCTTCCTAAGTTTTTACTCATTAGATCATGGATTTTTAATGAAGCAATCTTGGGCCCTGGCAGATAGAGCCAAGGAATGAATTTTTATATTTCAATTTCCATGTTACTTTTTTCTATGTTTTATTCTTGCTTCATTCTATCATCCAGTTAAAAAAAGTTTTAATTTGTATTATGATCCATCCCAGTTGGAATGAAGGTTGGAACATTTGGCCATATACGTAATTGCCAGCATGAACCGTAAGCTGGAAAAGGTATATTCTGATATTGTTGTTCACTTTAAAAAGCAGAGTTTGGATTTTGCATAGGGACAAAACAATTCACATGTTACAATTACCATGAAGGATAACTTTGGGATATGGGAGTGGAGGTCAAGGCCATACTTGAAAGTTGAGTCCTACTTGGAAGTTTTTTTCCAATTTTAAAAAAATCAGTATACATTGAGTAAAGTGCATCAATCTTAAGTTTGCAGCTTGATGAGATCTGTTTTTTAACCTATTCACCACAACCTAGATCAAGCTAGAGAACATTTCCCACACCCCAGAAACCTCCCTCTGTACCTTCTGCTTCTCTCACCATAGATTAGTTTTGCCTGTTTGTGAACTTGATATAAATGGACCAAACAGTCTGTACTTTTTTGTGTGTCTAACTTCTTTCACTTACATTATGCCAATCCCTGGACGCACCACCCTCCAGGAACCTCCATGTGTTCAGCTACCAGAAGGTCCCTGAACCCAGTCCTCTTGGGTTTTTATGGCAACGTCATTATGTAGGCATGATTGATTAAATCATCAGGCCCTGGTGATCAACGTAACCTTCAACCCCTTACCTCTCCCCTCCCCAGAGGTTGCTGGGGTGGGACTAAAAGTCCTACCTTGGTCTTTGCTTGATCAGGCCCCATTCCTGGAGCTGCCTAGGGGCTATCAGCCATCATTAGCATAGGAAAAGACTCATCACTTTGGAGTTGTACGTCAGGAGATGGGGATGAAGACCAAATATATATTTTCACAATATCACAGATGGCAAAGTAGCTTTGCTATTTGCCTTTTTGGTTTTAGATGAAAAAAGTACACACAGGAAGTCCTGAAGTTCCTGGGTGTGTGTTGGAGAGAACGAAATATGTTCCTCCCAGTTCTCCAGAATTCCTCTTGAGGAGAATGGCAAGAATGTGGCCAGCCTGGAGACCTGCCTTCCTGGACGCACCACCCTCCAGGAACCTCCATGTGTTCAGCTACCAGAAGGTCCCTGAACCCAGTCCTCTTGGGTTTTTATGGCAGCGTCATTATGTAGGCATGATTAAATCATCAGTCCCTGGTGATCAACATAACCTTCAGCCCCTTACCTCTCCCCTCCCCAGAGGTTGTTGGGGTGGGACTAAAAGTCCTACCTTGGTCTTTGCTTGATCAGGCCCCATTGCTGGAGCTGCCTAGGGGCTATCAGCCATCATTAGCATAGGAAAAGACTCATCACTTTGGAGTTGTACGTCAGGAGATGGGGATGAAGACCAAATATATATTTTCACAATATCACAGATGGCAAAGTAGCTTTGCTATTTGCCTTTTTGGTTTTAGATGAAAAAGCTACTTTTTATCAAGTACACACAGGAAGTCCTGAAGTTCCTGGGTGTGTGTTGGAGAGAACGAAATATGTTCCTCCCAGTTCTCCAGAATTCCTCTTGAGGAGAATGGCAAGAATGTGGCCAGCCTGGAGACCTGCACTGGCTTGGAAGCTGGCATGGAGTCACTGAACTTTGACTCTGCTCTGCTTTGCACTCTCTGCTGTTCTTTTATGAAATATAGCTCCTGTGCAAGATGTTACCAATTTCTACCTCCCTTGTACCAAGCCTCCCTTCTGCCTTCCTTTTTGCAGATAATCATTTCTCTAAACCTGTAAAGATAGACTCCCTTTAAAAACTACAATATCATTAGCATACCTAAGAATTAACAATAATTCCTTAATATCATCAAATATCTTCCCATTGTCCAAATTTGCCATTTTTTCTTATATATTTGTGTATTCTTTGTTTACTTATCTATTTATTTACAGTGTATTAAGTCAGGGTCCATCCATATCAGGTCAGTTTGTGATTGCTAAGTGTCTCTTCATTTATTTGTTTAATCAATGTTTCCTTTCTCTGTCCTCTTCCCTTTTTGAATCTTGCAATTTATTAAAGAAATTGGGTCAACTGACTTGAGTTTCTCAGTGTGGACATTGCTCATTGCATTTCCATGGTGGTGTTTGTCCTGTTTCTCTGCACTTCATGTTTGTGTCAATTGGTGTTAGATCTAGAAGTTTGGTCCAATCTAGGTTCATTCATTCATTCATTCTATTTATTTATTTATTCATCCACTCATTCATTCATTTATTTATTTTGGTGGCTGGCCAGTAAGGAATCAATTTAGGTTCTTTCTGGCTCTCTATCTACCCATCTGTTTATCTGTCATTTATCTGTCTGAGAGGTGGAGGGAAGAATATATCATGTAAAGTATCATGTTCTTCCATCGGAGGCACATAATTTTTGGTTATCACTCTTCCTGTGATGTTAGCATCCTTTGATGATCATCATTGTCTAGATCTGTTATTTCACTAATGGTTGCAAAATGGTGATCTAATTCACTCTTTTCTCATGTTATGAGCTAGAACATTTTATATAGAGAAATATTCCCTCATCAACTGTTTTACTACTCAGAGGAATAGCTTGTGTAGCAGGGGCAGGATAAATGCTTGATATGTGCCCTTTGTCTAAGAGTTTTCAAAATAATAAGCTGGTTGCCTATCATTCTTCAAAGAGACCCAAGTGAACTGGGTGTGTGTTGAAATATTTGATGTGCTTTAATCCATTACAACTAGTAGCTGTATTGATTGTTCATCTTTGACTAGTGGAAGCCTCTTTAAGTTGGATCCTAAACACTTTTCACATGATGCTATGTTTAATAGGACCCTTGCTTTATAGCATGACAAGAGTTCTAGGTCTGTCTCTTACATTTCCTGACTCAGACTTGGAAATCAGTCTTATCTCCAGTGAGCTTTGGGAATATATGGTATTTAGAGACCATGGTCTGGGTGCTATGACATTCATTTATTGAGCTCCAACAATGTGCCTGACCTTGTTATCCATTTTCCTCCCTGAATTCCATCTAGGGTAATCTGTTGGTACAAGAATTTGACTAGAGTTGAGCAGGTGACAGTCAAAGGTCAAATGTCTTCTTTTTGAGCCCTGTTCAAGGTTGATTTAACATTTGGTGGGGCCTAGTTATTTCTATTTAAAACTTTTAAAAAAAAATTTCAGTCTTTAGCTTCTGAGTATACTTTATTTTCACTGTTTTCTAAGGTGAAACTGAAGCTTTTGTGTTTTATTCTCTTTTTTCTCCATTTTTCCCCTCACTAGTTATCTTTCTACCCAGTGACCTTGCCTTCAGGTAAGGCCTCAGGCTGTGGACTGGCAAAGCCATGTGCACTTGTCATTAGGAGAGATGGCTGGAAACATCAGAGTGGAGTGGCTGCTAGTGTGTTACACGTTAGTCACAGTGCATGTGGCTGGTGACTTTCTGTTGGAAACAGCCTAAGGATACCTTAGCCTCACATGCTTTACTCTTTTGCATTTACATGTATGTGTCAGCCTCTGTGGCAGCAGAGACTTAATAGTTAGGCTGAAAAGCCAAAGTAGAAAAAGATTCTCGGAGAAAGCACAATCCCTGGGTCAGAAGGAAGATTACAGTTTGTTGAATTTTCAAGAGCTTTGAATGTGAAAAACAAAATCCGAGCAATTTGTAATTTCTCTGTTTTGCTTTTTTTCACTATTCCTTTTAGATGCAGTTCGAACATTAAGCAATGCCGAGGACTATCTTGATGATGAAGACTCAGATTAATTCCCTTCTGGAGCTTTGAGATCTAAAACTTCTGTTGCTTTTGCCATTCCAAAACTTTATCTTTGCCAGAAGAGTATTGGTAACTGTAAAAAAAAGAGAAAGAAACGTATATATGAACATGGCAGTGTTGCACTGTGTTTAAGTGAAACGTGTAAATGAAAAGTTCTCACCTCCGGTTTGCCAATAAGTGACTGGATACTTTGCTGTATAAAATACATTTATGTTCACCAGAGTAGAACAAGAAGAGATTATTTCTATTTATCAAGCTAAAGGAATTTTAAGAATTTTTTTCTTTAAAATAAAATCAGGATGATGTTTTTTAGTTCAAGTTCTTTACCTCAAAGATTGAGATATTTTGAATGGATTTTTCAAGGGGGGAAATGCTTATTATAATAATAAACCAAAATACTTAAAAGAAAATTGTCAGCTATCCTGACAGAAATAAACATTTTAAGAGATTTTATTCCGTTTGTCTGTTTTTGTGTTATCATTTATTGCTGGTAAATAAATAAAGCTTTTTGTATTTAGGTAAGACTGACTTTATTTTATTTTTTTAAATTATATTTTTTATGAGGTATCTTAAAAAAATTCATGGAAAGATTCATCTTTTAATTTCATTTTTCCATGAACTATTTGAAGTACCCTAGTATTTATTAGCACAGAAGAATCATGATAGTCACATTTCTGTTCACCTTCCTGTATCTGCTTTGATTAAAGTCAAGACAGTAATCATTGAGAATACATGTCTCATAAAATATATCCTTTTAATGATTATGAGACTTTCATTTTTTTTTTTCTAAGATTATACTTAGAGTGAAAAGGCAACTCATTATAGTTTACTTAAGGTTTGAAAAGTTTAAAAACTTGATTTCCTTATAGAATATACCGCAATTTTTTTGCATTCAGTTTTCACTTTGACAACGTTTGTTTCCTCAAAGCGTGTGTCTAGATCATAACAGTTCAGATTCTTTTGCTGCAATGCCAATTATTGCAGAGCCTTCTATACTACTGACATGACACTTTGTTTGAAGTTCTAATTTTGTATCTACAGTGATGATATTAAAAATGACATAGCCATTGGAATTTGCTTAGATTCCTGGCCCTAGACCCAGAAGTACATGTTGCAAGAGCACTTTGATGCTAATTTCAAAAAACACGTTGGTGAAGAGAAGGAAATGTGTGAAAAAGGAAGTGGCTTAGCTCAGGAAATGAATAACTGCTTCTGTAAGAGTTTCTTCTGTCTGTGACTGCTTGGTTTTTCCCTCTGTGGGTGCCTTGAGAAAGGATACTCAGAGAAGCTGGTTCTAGGTCTTTCAGATACCCCACCTAATTTTAGTAGAAAGGAATCTGTACAAGTAGTGACTGTACAAGTAGAGGATGAGGACAAACTCTGGAACTAATAAAATAGGGTATTTTATTTTCAAACAAATATGTTATTAAATTTGATTTAACATTTTATATTTTTTCTTAAGCATAAATTTGAAAATATGAAATCCTTCTTGAAATTATATCTCTTCCCACAGAACCTTTAAAGATTTTGCTTTAAAATGGGGCTATGCCTTAACAGGAAGCTTTTGGAGACCCCTGTAACTTTAGGCTTTTGTATACTTTGGGCCTGGGGTAATTAGGATGAATTCCAACTAAACACTCTTAATTTTTTAACACAGGCAGAGATAATACAGTTTATGTGACTATAGATAATTTTATGAAAACACTGCTTGATTTTGATATATCATTTATGTGTCTGAGGAAAAGAATAGAAGGGGCTTTATTGTCATTGCTTTTAACGTTGTTGAACCTATGAGAATTCTAGAAAGTTGGCCAATATAGTTTCTTGGGGGGTGAGGGAGGACTTAGGTATATGCATGAGTTTTTTGGTGAATGAGGACAACTTATTTAGTGGATACTCCATGGAATTTTTTTTTTTTTTTTTTTTTGCTGCTTGTTTGTTCAGCCTGGCTGATCTGAGCTTTCTCAGATGGTTTAATGCTGAACTCAGCAAGAAACATCAGTTCTAAGAATGCATCACTGCTCTGACTTTTCAGAGGAGAGCTCTGATTATGCTCTGGAAATAACTTTGGAGGTTTTGCTGTAACCTGAGCTTCCTGACAGTCACCGTGGCCTGAACTCCTTCCCAGCCTTTGCCTCCTATAGATAGAAAATGCCTTCCAGCCACTTGGGTAGTGAGATACTTGTCCAGTTGTAAGCCCAGGAGCCTCATGCAAAGGACAGTTTTTATCAAGGGTTCCCTTTTAGCTTCCTTGTTGGCCTGTTGCAAATTTTTTATTGTTGCACTGCTGTGCATTACAGCTGTCAACTTCTGTATTTCTTTAGTGAGCCCCCACTGCCTCCTTTTTCAGGGAAATGTTGAGCAAAGCAGTGGTGACCCCCTTTTTTTTTTATCTTAAACAAAACAAATTAGAAATAATGCTGAAAATGAAATCTCAGATAATTTGAGGTAGAGGAAAATATAATTTTTCCAAATAAGCCTTCTCCATAAAGGTTCTTTATTGTGTACACAGAGTTACTGGTATTTTTCTTGCTGTGAGCACTATATTTCTTATCTTCAGAAATGATTTTTTTTCTGATAGGCTGCAGAACCTAACATTTATATCTGATCATTGCATTTCCCTATTGACTTTGATTTTGCGTTTGTTCTTCTGATTTTTATATTGTAAATATGTATGTAATAGTAATACACAGAACAGGAATACCTTGTACAATCAGACTTTGAAGTGTCTGATTACTAAACATTGAGGTTTTGGTGGGAGAAGTAGTGCAAAGGATTCTGCTGTCCCTATTTTTACTGCAAACAGAGCTTTGGTGAACAGTTCTCTGAAGTGCAGGAAAAATTGCAGACCACTAATTTATGCTTCTGTCTCCTAATTTCTTAATAACAAGCTTTAACATCTGCCTCTCCCTCAAAATGACATAAAATTAAATAAAACTACCCTTTATTAAATGCCTGCTCTGCCAGTTACTGTGCAAGGCGCTTTCAGAGACGTGATGTCATTTGATCTTTACAGTAACCCCAGGCAATGAACATTAGTGCTCCTGTCTTTTTACAGAGAAGCTGAGGCTGGCAGAAGTTAAGTAACTGGTTCAAGGTCACTCTGCTTGAAGGTTGATGTGCAGACCTGGAATGTGCAGACCGGAGTCCACTCACCTGCTGCCATTGCACATGTCAGATGTCACCAGTCATGTTCTGTCAGAAAAATATGCAGAAACAAAACAGCTTCTTTTCCAACTCAGGCCCAGAATATAGGCATCTAATACATTCAGTATACTAATCAATTAATCGTGTTATTTAAACCAACCCTAAGAGCTTTTAAAGATCTTTTTTCTTTTTTTGGCCCCTGAAAAATTTTGGCAAAACTTTTTGTTTCACAATAAGCCTGAAGAAGTATGAAAATCAGGTTTTACCCCCAAGTTTCCAAAATTTCCTACTGTGAGCACATTAAACTGAATAAGTATTAAAGAAGGAAAGCTTAGATTAGCTGCTGTTCCCCTTGCTTTGAGTTTACATCGCTAAGTTTGATTGTTTACTCAGACAGTCCGAGAGCTCCTCATGTGTTTCCATGTAAGTGTGAAAAATAAACAGATCCCTGGGGAGGGCCAGAGAATGTTGTTCTAGCCGAGTCCAGGAGGTCCTTGTGGACGTGGAGGTAAGCTCACACTTCCCAGGCAGTTCTGCTGTTGTCTTCTGCCAGCGGCGTCTGCTTGGGTTTCCCAACAGGCTCAGCCTCCTGCCCAAGCTTGCACTGTCACAGCGGGGAGGCCGAGTGAGGCCAGGTTCCTGGCTGTGGCTGGAAAGGAAAACTGAGGAAATCTGAAGGTATGTGTTAGACAGCCTGAGAGGAAGCAGGAAGGAAAGTGGGAGAAAAGACAAGGAGGAAAGAGGCTGAACAGCAAGGGAGAAAAGGTCACCTTTTCTAAGTTACTTATATGAAATCACTGGAATGCTTCACGAAGTGGCTAAGAGTATGGAGTCTGGAGTCCAACTCTGGATTCAAATCTGTCTCTGCTGCTTATTGCCAAGTGATCTTGGACAGGTTGCCTGAACACTCAGATTGCTTAGCTGCAAAGCAGAGCTCTCCTGCCTAGAGTTAGGAGGATTAAATAAAATGGTATGTGTAAATGACTTAGAATAGTGCCTGGCAGAGTAATTGCTCAATAAATGGCTATAATCGTGAGCCCGAATAAGGAAGTTTTTTTGAAAAAAACAAATGTGTGCATGTATGAAGGGTGTACCAATAAACGTTTTTCAGAGACATCCTTTTTATGAAGAGCAGAATTTCCTAAAATGCATTAATGAAAGCTTTCCTCCAGTCATTTAGGTGTGTTTATATGTGGTAGTAGCGTTTTTCAATATAAACGTACTTTTTCTGAGTTACAGAGAAGAGGTATATAACCAAAAAAAAAAAAAAAACCCTGATTATTGTTGTTATTATAGATACATAATTATGTTATTAAGATCAAGTGGGAAGAAGGTCTCTGCCACTGTTTCAGTTTTACATTGTTGCTTTGGAGTGGTTTGATGGGCTTGAAAGACCAAGGGTCCAATATGTAGTATTTGTTGATTTCAAATCAGAAGGGTACTTGGTAAATACCATCTTGCTCTTAAATGACTTCAAAATTGAAACAATCCAATTGTTCAAATGGATAAGTTCTGCAACTTCCTATAAGATCTAAGCTTCAAGAGTTTAGTCTCACAGTGCCAATGAGATAAAGCTAGAGAATCTAACACACTTAGAAGTTAAGTATCATACAGTCATCACTAACTTTGAACAAGGTCAAGGAGCAAAAACTGAATTTGATATTTCATCATTCCCCATTCCAGTAAGAGAACTCCTAAGGCCACAAGAAATGTCTTCTTACACCAGGAGTGAGTCTGAGATGTGGAAATAAGGCCTATTTGGACACAGGTTGGCTTGGAGAATCAGCCAGAGCCAGTCATTGACTGAAACTAGAAACAGCTTCAAAGAAATCCATAGCCCTGAAAAGCTCTCAGACAGAGATGACGTGTCACCGTGATACCAGGGAAAAGCCTGGCCTACAGCCCTCGCCCCATCATTTCTGAGCCATGCGACACTGACCAGACCCTGGGTCCTCGAGATATGGCTTTAATGAGGATCAGGTGGTGTTAGCTCTGCCTTGTGTGAACAAAAGGTGCCATTGCTGCTTCAGTGTTTTAGAGGATCTCAGGTTATGGCATAACCCCTGGGCTTGCTGTGTCACCTTTCCAGTGGGTGACACCCCTCATCTGCAGCAGGACACATGACAAACCCATGTGCTCATCTCAGAACTGGAGTTCAGATGGCAGGTTTCAGGATGAAAGGGTACTTGAGGGTCTTCTACTTTCAGCCCAGCTGAGTATGTGAGTTCAGTGTGGTATAGATGGGGGTTTGTACTCGATCTTCAGATCTGCAGTCAGCAGCACTGGGAGTGCTGATCTGCTATGAG